TCCGATAGAAAACATGAACTAAAGAGACCCACCAAACCGTCAAGATTTTTATACTCTGTTGAAGTCTGGGGGGAAGAAAAATACTAAATAGCTTTTTTATACAAAGAATTAAGTACATTTGAGTAGTTCGGTACTTTCTCCTTGTGTCATCCCATTGTTATACATAATTCATCTTTCAGAATTATGGTTGCTTGCTTTTTTTTATTTGTATGTTCGGATTTTTACCAATATCTGGGTCAATTTCAACTCAACAGCTCCCTTAGAATTATATTTACCATGAAAAATCATGACGTGTTCAATAAAGTACTTATTTTTCCTGCTGTTTATCAGTGCATATAAAGCTACAATCACCAAATATATAAAGTCTTTGTGATAAATCAGGAACACAGACACTAGGAATAAACATGTGTTGTAAAGTGTAAACAGTACATTCATGAAATACAGTTTTACTGTTTACCGTGCATTAAAGCGCTCCACGTACTTTGTATTGTGGTTCTCTGTAAAATTTTAAAGGGAACTTTTATTCAGTGAGCTTTAATGCTATAAAACAAGTAAAATAGGGTTTTCACTGTAAACATTTCGATGGGAGTTTTTGTTCAGAGGGCTTTAATGCTTTTATCGATAATGAAATAAGACTGAATACTTCATCTTACTCCTCCTTCTGTCTCTTCAGGCGACTCAGTAAAATCAGAGGGACTATAAAGAACACTGAGCTGATGATAAAACACAATTCAGCTCCGGCCAGCCAGTACACTGAAAACAAGTAAAAGAAAGTTATGATCTGAGATAAACTTACAAACATACAGGCTGATTCATAACTGATATACCGTAATGGATGAGACGTTTCTTTGCAATTAGAAGTTACAAGGTGCATCGCAAATCGCATACGTACTATGCACTATTCTATGCCATTTTGTAGTATAAATAGTAACATTTATATAGTACAATCATTCATTCATTTTCTTGTCGGCTTAGTCCCTTTTTTAATCCGGGGTCGCCACAGCGGAATGAACCGCCAACTTATCCAGCGAGTTTTTACACAGCGGATGCCCGCAACCCATCTCTGGGAAACATCCACACACACACACACACTCATACACTACGGACAATTTAGCCTACCCAATTCACTTGTACCACATGTCTTTGGACTGTGGGGGAAACCGGAGCACACGGAGGAAACCAACGCGAACACAGGGAGAACATGCAAACTCCACACAGAAACGCCAACTGAGCTGAGGCTCGAACCAGCGACCCAGCGACCTTCTTGCTGTGAGATGACAGCACTACCTACTACGCCACTGCTTCGCCCTATATAGTATAATATATAATATAAATATAGTACAAATAGTCTAAACAGAATAAGTCCACTTAAAATACACAGATGATGCACTTATTCAATTGATAAACAGAAGTGTGTGATGTTAAGCACTGAATGCTTACAGTTTTGCCCACGTAGCCGAAGGAGCAGAGCTATTAGGCACTAAGGTTGGATTGTTTTGTATTGTGAATGCAAAATTCTCCCATGTAAGTGATTATGCTGCCTCACGATGGATATGTTTTATAGTTTGGTCGTTTATAGAAATTTGGTAACCGCTAAATGTGTTTTATTTTTCGACGACACTAAACTCTACACTGGCACGGTGGCTGAGTGGTTAGCACTGTCGCCTCACAGCAAGAAAGTCATTGGTTTGGGTCGCGGCTGGGTCAGTTGCCATATCTGTGCGGAGTTTGCATGTTCTCCCCGTGTTGACGTGGGTTCCTCTGGATTCTCGGGTTTCCCCCACAGTACAAAGACATGCGCTAAAGGTGAATAGATTAGTGAATAAGTGTGTTTGAATGAGTATGTATGGGTGTTTCCCAGTATTGAGTTGCAGCTGGAAGGGTATCTGCTGCGTAAAACATATGCCGGAATAGTTGGCGGTTCATTCCGCTGTGGCGACCTCTGAAATAGAGACTAAGCCGAAGGAAAATAAATGAATGAATGAATAAACTCTACACCACACTGCTGAGTCAGTGTATAAGTGCATTAGAGTATAGTGCGTAATTTGGGACACAACAACAGTCATAGTTGTTTACATAATCATAATAAATAAAATATTTACTGACAGCTTTTTGCAACTCAAAACCTGTTTTGATTTACATTTTTAAAAGTTATTTGTAATCAAAAGACATAATCATTGTTCATTTTGAGGCAGCAAACTTTATGGCAGTGATGCATCATCATTTATGCATCATGGTTTAGTCTATGGTAGTCATATTTCCTCATTTATATGGAATATTATCCCAGCATTGTAATGATCAAGCATTATAATTTGCACTGCTCTTCTTAGATTATATTGATCATTATGGAAATGACTCTTTGATTCTGTGTTCTTTCATTTGTATAATGACAACAGAATAACCTCAAGGACTTCCTTTTGTTTTTTGTAGTACATCTGGCTGCAAATCGTAAGATGATTTGTTTACCTGAAGAAGCAACAATAGGGCCCAGTGCTCGAGCTAAAGCTCCAAGACTACGAAGGATTCCCATTACTGTTCCTTTCTGACTGGCTGAGCCTACAAACCAATACAGACATCAGTAACACAGTCATACATTCACAAACAGCTATATTACACACTACATGAACAGTCATATATGAAAAGAGCAGGCACTGGACAAACATAAAAATGAAAATAAATCTCACCATGTCCGGACACTTGTGTTGAAAGGCACGGAACAACAATAGCAGCAGCTGTAAAAATAAATAGATTCATTATTACTAATTAAAATAGTAATACTATAGCTGTGGTGAAAAATTATTCAAGAAATTGATTGAAATTCCACTTAAAACTGAAACACACACTATTAAAATTAGATAAGGTTTAAGGGAATTAGCGCCATCTGCTGTTAAAAACTAGCCTAGAGCACCATCTGCTGTTACAAATTTGACTAGAGTGCTGATAGCTATTAAAAACTAGCCTAGAGTGGTGTATGCTGTTAAAAACTAGCCGAGAGCGCCATCTGCTGTTAAAAACTAGCTTAGAGCGGCATCTGCTGTTACAAATTAGACTAGAGTGCCATCTGCTATTAAAAACTAGCCTAGAGCGCCATCTGCTGTTAAAAACTAGCTTAGAGCGGCATCTGCTGTTACAAATTAGACTAGAGTGCCATCTGCTATTAAAAACTAGCCTAGAGTGCCATCTGCTGTTAAAAACTAGCCTAGAGCGCCATCTGCTGTTAAATACTAGCTTAGCATGTGCTGTTACAAATCAGTCTAGAGTGCCATCTGCTGTTAAAAACTAGCTTAGAGCGGCATCTGCTGTTACAAATTAGACTAGAGTGCCATCTGCTGTTAAAAACTAGCCTAGAGCGCCATCTGCTGTTAAAAACTAGCTTAGAGCATTACTGCTGTTACAAATTAGACTAGAGTCCTGATAGCTATTAAAAACTAGCCTAAAGTGGCGTATGCTATTGAAAACTAGCCTAGAGCGCATCTGCTGTTAAAAGATAGCCTAGAGTGGCGTATGCTGTTACAAATTAGTCTAGAGTACCATCTGCTGTTAGCCTAGATCACTGTTTGCTGTTAAAAACTAGCCTAGAGCACCATCTGCTGTTAAAAACTAGCCTGGACCACCGTTTGCAGTTAAAAACTAGCCTAGAGCAACATCTACTGTTAAAAACTAGCCTAAAGCCCCATCCGCTGTTTAAAATTAAGCTCAAAATCCATTTAAGAGAATCTCTGAATCTCCAAATCAATGCAGAATCATTTTATCAAACATTTTTTTTGCTACAGCTTTAATACTAACAAATAAATAAATGTTTAATATGGATAATAGCAATAAACAGTGCCTTTGTGTACTGAACGATAGATGTAAATATACACACTTCCATACCAAAAGAGTACAAAAACAATCCAGAATAGAGTAGTGTCAAATTCCACGCAATTCCAACAAGCAGGAAGGCTGGTATGAGTGTTATAATTGCCTGAAATACACAAACACACACACATGAAAACAAATAAGGATGTAAGTAGTCACAATGGCCATGCCTTTGAGGACTTAATCATCCATCCATCATATTTGGAGTTCTGAGAAAATATTAAGAAAACATTAATCGACTCGTGATCCAGCAATTCATGAAAGAGTTTACCATGCTCACAGTCTGGATCTGATGGCCAGGCCTGATCCTGCGGGCATATCCACCCTGGATCACTGCCATAGTGATGCCAATGAAAAAAAACATCTTCCCCTGCTGCATGCTGCAACACAAGAGGGCAGTATTTCATTTTATAGAACTAAATAAAGGGAAATTATAGATTGTCCTAAGGGTAGCAACACTTCACTTTAACCTTTGTCCCCCTTTCCCCATTCTGGCTGTTTATGGTTTATTATAAACTCTACAAAACTTCCTGGTTCCTAATGCATTCATAAAAACACACTCACAAGCTGCTTTTCAAAGCTTCGTGAGTCACAAGTCGAGCCTTGTTCTCAAAATCAATTTGCTAGATTTTCTACGGATGGCTTATCTATTCAAGATCTGTTGAGAGGAAGATGCCTCCTGTTTTAGTTGTGACATTATGTATGAAGAATTGGAACATAGCATAAATAATTAGCAAATAAAGCACAGTTTTGTTCATGTTTGATCATGCTTGAACCCTAATAGAGCACTCACTGAAATTCCTATTAAATAAAGCCTGGAATGTTAAAAACTAGCCTAAAGCTCTGTCTGCTGTTAAACACTAGCCTAGAGCACAGTGCTTAATTTGTGAATTGCGAGGTCCCGGAACAGATCAGGATAACGGATCCGGCATGTTACTCGAGGATGGAGAGGTGTCGCACTCGAAAGTGGATCCGGCGTGTTCCAACACAAATTAAACCCTGCTAGAGCACCATCTACTGTTAACAACTAGCTTTTAACACCATCTGCTGCTAAAAACTAGCCCAGAGCACCATCTATCCTTAAGAAATAGTTTTAACCACCGTCTGCTGCTAAAAACTAGCCTAGAGCACTGTCTGGTGTTACAAACTAGCCTAGGGTGCCACATGCTGTTAAAAACCAGCCTAGAGCGCCATGTGCAGTTAAAAACTAGCCTAAAGCACTATCTGCTGCTAAAAACTGGCCTAATGCTCCATCTGCTGTTAAAAACTAGCCTAAAGCGCCATCTGCCATTAAAAACTGCTCTTGGATCACCGTCTCCAGCTACAAACTAGCCTAGAGCACTTTCTGTTTTTAAAAACTAGCCTAGAGCGCCGTCTGCTGCTAAAAACTAACCCAAAGCACTATCTGCTGCTTAAACTAGCTTACAGCTCCATTTTCTGTTAAAAACTGGCCTAGAGCTCAATCTGCTGTTAAAAACTAGCCTAGAGCGCCATCTGCTGCTAAAAACTAGCCTCGAGCTTCATTAGCTGTTAAAAACTAGCCTAGAGTGCCAACTGCTGCTAAAAACTAGCCTAGAGCGCCATCTGCTGCTACAAACTGGCCTAAAGCACTATCTGCTGCTAAAACTAGCCTACAGCTCCATTTGCTGTTAAAAACTAGCCTAGAGCACTGTCTGCTGCTACAAACTAGCCTAGGGTGCCAAATGCTGTTAAAAACTAGCCTAGAGCGCCATCTGCCATTAAAAACTGCCCTTGGATTGGTGTCTGCAATAATCATAACAAATACTAATTTATTCATTCATTTTCCTTCAGCTTAGTGCCTTATACATCACAGGTCGCCACAGTGGAATGAACTGCCAACTATTCTAGCATATGTTTTATCCAGTATTGTGTCTAGCATATGTATGCAATCCAGTACTGGGAAAGAGCATGTCTTTGGACTGTGGGGGAAACCGGAGCACCCGGAGGAAACCCACACCAACACGGGGACAATATGCAAACTCCACGCCAACTGGCCCAGCCGGAATTCTAACTAGCAACCTTCTTGCTGTGAGGCAACAGTGCTAACCACTGAGCCACTGTGCCACTCGATAATATTAATATTTAATAGTAATAATACATATGGTGGATTCACGAAAACAAAAACTGCAAAAAAACATAGCTCCTGGAACGTATTTTGCTCTCTCCAGAAATTTATACTGGGGTACATAATCAGAATGAGCCTGGGTTGGTCCTGTAATAAATTTTTAGACATGCTTTTTACATCAATGTCAGATGTCAATTTGATGTCATTTTGACATCAGTGTAGATTAGTTTGTTATAAATGATACCAATGTACTATATATTTTTGTTGAAATCGGTATCTGTATCTGCCAAAAATAAATAATTAAATCACAATTTTGCCAAAAAAAGTCATAATGACCTAAATAAGATTTGAAATGATGTGCATTGAGATTGTTCTGCTAGTTAGTCCAGCTATGAATCATGTTTTTTTCTTGTTTTGTTTAATGTGTTTCCATATTATTTTTGCATGAGTTTTTTTTTTCATTTAATTCAATAACTGTAACTATATCAATACAAGCTTAATACAATTTCTATGAAATTTTTTTAAATTCAATTCCCAAGATGAAATTAATATCCAAAAATGCATGGGACAGAAATAGCAAATGTTACACACTTTACCTGGAAAACTGAAAGCGTTGATGTGTCAAAAAACTCAAGGTGAACTCCAGGCCAGAAAACAGAAACAGATATGTAAAATACACCAATCCAAGCACCTTAAGATTCTGCATTTCTGATGTGATGAATAAAAACAATCGTCAACAGTGCATTTATTATTCATTCCGGTCAAACTGAAGGCTTTTACCTGGTTGAAACCAAATACACTCACTTTGTTCAGATGGTGGATTCTCTGTCCTCCTGACCGCAGTGAAATTGAAAAGTGCAACAGGGTGAAGAAGATCTCCAGATTGCTGTTGGAGACCTGATGATTCTGAAGCCCCCTGAGTCATGAAAAGCATCTGTTACAATGCTATAAACAATGACTTTCAACTGAAATTAATTTTGTAAATTAGTCAAATTAAAAAGTTGGATTATAACAACAATGTAATGATGTTGATATTTTTGTTTTTGGGTGAACTATCTATTTAATAAACTGATTAATAACACTTTGAATCTAGTTGTTGCATTTCAAATACCTTTTGTAAAGTCTCTGGGAGCATGAAAAAGATAAAGAGCAGGTCTGCTAAAGAAAAAAGGACAGCCAGCATGGCAGGGCCTTGATAAAACACCTCAGCATCTTTGAGTCTCAGAGCAAAGTATGCTCCCATTAATGGACCCAATGTGAACCCCAAGGAGAAGGCCACCCCAATCATTGCCTGAAAACAGAAGAAAACAAATCTTCAAATCACTCTAAACTTACAAACTTCATTCCTTTATCAACAGTAAAAATGACCAATTGTACCTCAACTGGGAAATCAAGACTTTACGATCAAAAACTGTAGCTATGATGAAAGTCAATGGGGCAAAAACAGCCACAAACATAACGAAAGGGTAGTAAATTTGAACAACACACAGAAATTAAGCTCATCCCTCATTCACAAACTTCAAATAGCCCATTTACATGGCTGCTCTAGTAATTGACTGATAATAATGACTGTAACTCACCATCCCCTTGTTTCTTGCTTTAGGGCAAGGCAGGTCCGCCACAATAGCAGTGCACAGGCTGACGTTACCTTTACAGATGCCTCCCACTATTCGAGACAGCAGAAATACGGTAAAACTGTGAGAGAAAGCCCACAGGACGTAGGACGCCATGAGACCTATCTGGAAAACAATGAAATATTCCTTAAGACTGCTATTATCTATAAAGTTTAGGAAAAGCTGTGCCATTAATTCAAGACATCATGTCAGTATTGCAATTCCTATTCATGTTGGTCTCTATACAGAGAACTGTACACTTGCTACGGAGTGATTTAATTTGCATACCAGTCATATTAAATGCAAGCAGCAGCAGTGCTTATGATTCACATAACATTTTTAAAAATAATTGAATGCAAAAAAACAGACACACACTAATTAAAATATTTAAAACCATATAAAACCAAAGTGATCATGGTAAATTTAATTTTATTTCTACTTAATAAAAATTCATGCTGACAAATGGGGAAAACCTAGTGGTTTAAAGGACAGTGGAAACATTTCAAATGATGAAAATGAATTAGTATTTTGAGTTAACTGGGCTTATTGAGGCTAATTATTGTTGGTCTGACAGCTTCTACTGCTCTTGTTATTTGTTTTGACCAAAAGCATCCGCTAAACAAATAAATGTAAATGCAAATAACTTCTGCTGCACTGTGATCCCTGAATAGAGTATTTTAATATGTAATCAAATAAGTCTTGTTCTAAACAGGCCTGTAAAGAGTTTTTGATATTGTTACATTGAAATACATTTTAGTCTTCTGTAAATTATGGGTAAAAAAATGCAAGATTCTCATTATGTTTTGCTCTGAAAAAAAATTATATTAAACAGGACACAAAAAACAACATGCATATATATCTTTAACAGCATGCAAAGATATCTAAAATTTTTCATTTATTTATTACTTTTATTAATTTAACTCAATGTCTCAGTTGACTTATCAAAATAAAACACTTACATAACACAATAATATTATAATTAATATATTTATTATAATATATCATATTTAATATTTCATATTATATTTATATAAAATTATATTTCATATTTTATAGTATATTGATATTATATTAAATTATTTTTAAATTATAGTATATTTAATATCTTATATTATATTGATATTATATTATATTATATTTAAATTATAGTATATTTAATATCTTATATTATAATATAATATATTGTATTATATTATATTATATTATATTATATTATATTATATTATATTATATTATATTATATTATATTATATTATACTATATTATATTATATTACACTATATTATATTATATTATATTATACTATATTATATTATACTATATTTGATTATATTATACTATACTATATTATATTATACTATAATATATTATATTATACTATACTATATTATATTATATCATACTATATTATATTATATTATACTATACTATATATTATATTATATTATACTATATTATATTATACTATACTATATTATATTATACTATACTATATTATATTAAATTATACTATACTATATTATATTATATTATATTATATTATATCATATCATACTATATTATATTATATTATATTATACTATATTATATTATATTATATTATATTATATTATATTATATTATATTATATTATATTATATTATATTATATATATTAATTTTTTTTGCTTGTTTTTACGTTTACCTGCATATCAAGTTACCATTAATCAACACTAGAACTATGAACATGCATATGTGTTGGTCAATTCTTTAAATATCTGAAAAATCTCAAGGAAAGGCATACTTCAATCTAATAATTAAGATCAAATGAGATTAACGAGACAATAAAAAGTTAGTGAATCCCTGCCCTTTATGATGGGATTGTGTCAATGTGCTCTTTACTCACAGTTGTTAACAGCAGCAGAGGTTTCCTGCCATAATCATCTGAAAGAGCCCCAGTAATTGGTGACGACAAAAACTGCAGCAGAGAGTAGAGTGAGCCTATCAGACCTGAGAGACCAGAGAAGATCATCAGTCCACATGTCCTCAATACACAGAATTACATGCTGCATTCAAAGGAATGAATAAAGTTACCTCCAAAAAGCACACTGTTGTATTTAGTTTCCATCGGGACTCCAACTGCTCCTCTGAACCAGTCCACTACGCTCTGTAATGACTGATACACATTGTCCTGTAGAACGAAACAAACTTTCATTTTACATACACTGAAAAATTCATCCAGGTGTCCTGCTTTGCAACTTACTGCATCTGATAATAGGTGCATTTATCTTACCCCATTGACAGATATTTTGGAAACACTTTAGTTTAAATGACGATTCACACCATTTACAACTGGCTTATTACACGCCTATTAGGATTTTAACTGTTTGTTTGCATATCTAAAGTATGATCTTATTTTACATGCCTAACATGGTCGTGCCCAACTAAGCCTGGTCTCTCTCTGGGTCCATTTTCGGCGCTCGCAAACTCCTGCGTAGTGTGGACGTATCGCGTAACCGTAGCAAAACTTATGCATTTTAAAACGAAAACGCATTAGTGTAAACGGAGCCTCAGTGTTTACACCTGGTCCTCATGTTCCTTCCTCCCTTTATAATGTGCTCTTTTCCCTCATATCTTCGTCAGTTCATTGTTACTTGTTGCATCTTATGTTACCCGTTACATGTTACGTGCTCGTTTTTCTGTGCTGTCGTTGGTGAGATTGAGTTGTCTTTAGCTATGTTTCCATCCAAAAATGCGAATAAACTTAATGCGCAAAACTGGATTATTGCATAAAAGTTGTGCGAAGGAAGCATTGTTTCCATTCAAGAGTCAAAGCGAACAAAATCGTCACTTCCTGATTGAATGGCGCCAAATATCAACAGTAAAAACTGCATTTGCTGCAGTAGGAGAAGCTACTTCAATCTTTTCCAAATTAATGCGCCTCAGAAGACAATCCTGACAAGCATTGAGCGCGCAGTGACTTTTGAAGGTGTCAGACGCGGAGCACAGGCGCTCTTGATTCTGGAGGTCATTAATAATATAATAACATTAATACTGAAATGGTAAGGCGTTTTATAATGACCAAAACAACATTTCCGATGTTTTATAATGTGCTCAATCTGACGTTTTGTTCATTCACACACATTTTAAGCATCACATGATCTCTTTTAACAAAATCACATGACCTTTTTTAATGCGCATGCTGGAGTTTGTGCGGTAAAAGTGTTTCCATCGCAGTTTATGCGCGTCTTTTCTAATCGAATAAAAAGTTCATCCTACCTAGTTAGGCGCATAAGTTCTTTATGCGCATTTTCAAAATTTATGCGCATCATGGCGTTTCCATCAACTGTTTTTTTTATGCGCATTTGCAAAATGCAAAACATAACTTTTTTCTAATGTTTGTTTGTGTTTTTCAGTAGGCCTTCAGAGTCAGCCCCGTGTGGTTTATGCTTTTCAAGTTTGTTTGTTTGAGTTTGTCTATTTATCTTATTTGTTCTATTAGTAGCGTTAAGTGTTTAGTTCCTTTTTATTTAATTTAGTTCAGTAGTTAATTGCAGTTATAAACAGAGATGTGTTCTTGTTTTACACAAGAAAACACTGTAATGCTACATGTTGTTAGTGTTTTTAGGTCTTTGTTTTGTGGGTGACAAAATGTGTGTGTTGGCTGTCAACCAATGACTGTACAAAATATGGACGACGCGACAGCCCTTTTTCCCATTGAACGCCTTGAGGGCAAAACGCCTGCTTGACGGGCACAAACTGTCGCAAAAGACTGCTGAAATTGAAGCCTTGACATGCGCAGAAGGATTGTCTGATGGAGCCAGAGGAGGAGCCGCGAAAATGAGCGGAGTCGAGCTTCCAACCAAACGCTTTATGTAAAATCAACCACGCCCCCCGAACTTCTCAGCATGCTTTTGCTGTCATATCAACACAAATGGATGTAATAACGTTAACAAATATGAGGGTTTTATATATTCAATCGCGCCAGCTCCGGGCCGCAGCGCATAACCTACTCGCGGCGTCGCGGGCTGATTCAGGCTCGCATGCGGCAGCGCCGGCTCACTCGGCCGCCGCATCTGGCTCGATTGACTCGGGCTGGAATCGGGCAGTGAGTCCAGGCATCCGGAGTAGGTCCAGCAGAGGTAGTCAGTCTGAGCTCTAAGGGATAGGTCTCCGGCAGGCGAGAATCTAACCGAAACTGTGTTTTGCTATCTGGGTGGTTAGGCGTGTATCAGCAAACTAATAAAGCCCGAAAAAAGCCCTGAACTTATATATAAACAGTGTTCCACCAGGATCATGTATGTCAGAAACTATAGTTTACTGCTGAACTCATTTTGTCATGGTAAAATAACACAGAAATCGAATAATAACATTTCAGTCTACTTCAGTCTCCTGCCGAAGCTCAGACGCGCTGCTTTGAGAAACTGTCAATCACAGCTGTCAATCACGATGACACGCCCAGCATTAAATTACTGCTAAAAACAAACTGTTTACAAAAATGAAGATCTGCACCTATTTCAGCACAATAACCAGTGCCTTAATCCACCAGAACTATCTTTCGGGACATTTTATTGCAAGTGTAATAATTTTTTTTATTTGGGCTCAAGTCTCCTTCATTAACACGGAGGAGGCGGGCTTTATGACTTGTACTGCAGCCAGCCCCCAGGGGGCGATCTAACAGCCGAGACCTTCACTCAAACACAGGCTTGCGGCACACTTGCTGTAAACCTTTGCTAGTTTTCTTGAAGAAAGAGTTCATTTGAGACCTGAATAAAGTGTTTTTGGTAGTTGCAGTGCATTTTGAATGTGAAATCAACTGCTTTGCCAAGCTGAAAGTCGGTTAGGAGAATTGTGTGAAGAGTTTTGCAAAAGTGACCCAAGTATTGAGAAATGCGTCCTAGCGTCTGTAAAAAAAAAACTGTAATGAGGAAAAAACAGCTCTGTGCTTGGAGGCTTTCCACAGACTTGTCTCTTCAACAAACTTATATGATATTATAAAGTGAATTCGTTTAGTATGTGCTATAAAGTCATTGTTGACTTTTGTAAAGAAAATGCCCTTTATATTCTTTCTTTATAACATCAATCAGACAGCAGGAGGAACATGTCATGACCGGAATAGATATGGTAACATGCATGACTAATCTAGGTCAAATTACAGCAGCGTTTCTTTTTGAACAAAGAATCTTTTAACAAAAAATATGTGGGCTGTTGACATGACGTTGCATTTTCACAGCTCAATTAATATATTCAGTATTGTCTAGTAATGTAGTTAAACATTTATTTGTCTTCCATTGTCCTATGGTGTGACGGTCTCAAGCATAGTTCAATAAATTACAGCTTCATTAAATTAAAAATAAAATCATTACATTTACATTTAGCAGACACATTTATCCAAGGCAACTTAAAATTGAGAAGGTGTTCGTCGATTCAACAAGAAGAGGCAATACACACAAGAAGTGCTAAATTATACATAGAAACCGTTAGCGCTCAGAGAATTAAGTGCGAGAGTTATGAGGGAAAGTGTTTGTTTTTATAGACAGAGTGTTTCTACAGGTGGTTTGTCGAGCCCACTCACCTGTGTGAGGCACACTTCATAAATGTACAATTTGTTTTTGTGATATGGAGTGATTGTGAGAAAGTGTCTGGTGCAAATGGGCAAATGCTGGTGCAAGTGTTGGTTAAAGTGTCAGAGAGATGAAAGGGCGTGTTTTATACATGTGGTTTGTCAAGTCCACTCACCTGAATTGCATAATGTTTTGTGGTTGTTTAGTGGTGTGTTCAACCCAGGCTCATTCTGAATACATATCCCTATATACATTTCTGGAGAGCGCCAAATACATCCCAGAAGGTACATTTTTTGCAGTTTTTTGTTTTCACGAATCCACCAGAGGCTGCTGTGTATGCTTTTAGAGATCTTAAATTTCTCTCACGAGTGCCATTCACGCCTGCTGTTCTTGCGTAAATTCAACAGAGGCTGCTGTCGTCTGACTGACCGATCGACTGACCCACCCTTCTCCTTCCCTAAACCCAACCGATAGTGTTTTCAAAAGCAATCCGGAATTTTTATTACCACATTTTTAGATTTTACCACATTCTGACGCTGTTATTTACTTGTTTATTTTATTTTTTTGGAACCTGCTTTCTGGAACTGTTCTTCCCCTGGACTCTGATTCTGTCGTTGCGTTCAACTTCTCTCCACATCACAAGTTCGCTGACGTACACAACCGGCCATTGGACAAACTGGTAACAGCTGAAAAGCCGTCCATACTGAGATAAGCGGTCAGCTGGTAAGCGTGAAAAGGAACGGCGCCACATCGCCCCGTAGCATTTGTTTAAAAGTTGAAATGCAGCCACATGTACCTCTGGCTACATAATTCGCAATCTCCAGAAATGTATATAGTGCAGCATTTTAAGAATGAGCCTATGTTGGGTTTGGTGGGGGAAAGAAAAGAGGGTCCTGGTTTTGTTTACAGGAGATGAGAATATCGCAGAAGAGATGTTTTTTTACTTGTCATGAATACATAGCTCAGGCCTAATTTGTGTTTTTATTTAACATGCAAACTCCACACAGCAATGCCAACTGACCCAGCCCAGACTCGAACCAGCGACCTTCTTGCTGTGAGGTGACAGTGCTAACCACTGAGCCACCATGCCGCCTCAGTACAGATCAGTAAAAGCTACCCAGGCACATTCTGGAAACGTAGTCCCGTGCTTACCTCCGTATGGAGGGCTTTTCCGCCACAACCAGTTTGTCCAGTCAGCTTATCGTGTTCGTCGGCAGACTTGAGACGCAGAAAGAAGTTGACCACGACGACCGGGTTCGAGTACGGGGAAGAGCGGTTCCAGAAATCAGGTAAGACAAAAGCAGAACTCCAAAAATAAAGTGAACGAGTTCATGACAGGGTGAGAATGTGGTGAAATCCGAAAACGTGGTAAAAAATCAGACCACGGCTTTTCTTTTTCTGGACGGCTTTTGTAAATTGTTGGTTGGGTTTAGGGAAGTAAGTGGGCGGGCGGGTCAATCGGTAAAATTGGTAGGGTTTAGGGAAGAAGGGTGGGTCAGCCGATTGGCCAGTCGCACAGTCAATCATTCAGTCAGTCAGACAGCGGCCTCTGGTGGGTGAACAGCGCGGGTGCGAATGGTACTCACAAGAGTAATTTTAGATACGAAAGAGCGCACACAGCGGCCTTTCGCGGGTTCACGACGACAAAAACTGCAAAAATATGTACCTCCCAGGACGTATTTCGCAGTCTCCAAAAACATCCACGGGTCTATGTTTTCAGAATGAGCCTGGGTTGGTAAAAAGTAATAATATATATATATATATATATATATATATATATATATATATATATATATAATTTTTATTTTTACTTAAACATGAAAGAATTGATAAAGTTAGTTATATTTTCTCAAACATCTCATAACTATAAAACAACATTTTTTAAAAAGGTGCCTAACTAAAAAAAAATTAATTTTACTGCCTGTTTGTCAACTACCCATATACAATTTATAAATTGAAAATGAAGATCTTACCCCAGTTTGACTGTAGTGATCTAAGATGGAGGGCAGGAGAGGAAGTATTAACGTGAAGCCCAGCAAATCAAGCAGAAGCGCCAAGAAAACCACCCTGATGACTCTGGAGGAGGACGCTTCTTCAGATGAGCCTCTGTTATCGGCCATTTCTCCACTCCGCTTGTCCCACAGTTTCTCCTGAGCGTTAAGAACTCTTAATGCATCTCCTGTGTCCACTGAACTGAATCACTGAACAAAACAAAGTTTTCTTTTTTTCTTTTTTGGACATTCACCATGATTTTCTTTAAAGTTGTGTAAATATTCCAATACATTTAGAATCCAATGAGTACCGTTATATTAGCATATCTACTACTAGCATTTATATACACACATATATATATATAGTATAACAACTACACTACTCATGAACTCCTTATGCACGTTCAACTAGTGAGTTTACACTGAATAACAACAGAAAAGTGTTCTGTCAACATCAACATGAACAGGAGTTCATGAGTAGTTAAGGATGAGTTAATAGGGATGTGCCCCTCCAAGTAAAGTCATGACATAACTATACATTAACAGCTCATGAGTTCATGTTGGTTACATTTAGCTTAAAATTAAATGTTAATTAATACATTAATTAACAACAAGTACTAACAAGAAGTTAAGGTAGTCGTTATTTACACATAAACTCATTTGACTCATGTTGTAGTTAAAGTTAATTCATGATTAGTGCATACCTTAACTCATTAACAATTCATAATAAAGTAATGTTTAGTTTACATATTAATACATCATTATTCATGTACTGTTATTGTAAAGTGTTACCCAAATATGTAGTTAATAACATTAACAACACTTATTACTATACTATACAGTAACCGTAACGTGTAATAACACTGTAAACATTTGATAAAACTAAAAGTATTCATCTTTAGCTACTCTGTTATTTACGTTTGCTCTTAAATAACCGATGACTATCTTAAAATCTCATTTTCACAACTCAATAAAACCCCATTGATTGTATGAACTCTCGCACCGCCTACTTGTCTGCACTCAACCTGAGGAGTCGTCAGGAAAACAAGCAGTTCTCAAATAAACCGTAACAACACCTTCAGCGTTTGTGACTCGTTAACTTTCTTCGCATAAAAACCAGACTGTGCAGTTTTCTCGATATCTTACCGTGAGTTCGCAATCAAAGTTGCAAGAAGATGCTGCTACTTCCCCACACACTCTCACACACACACTCCCTCATCATGAACACACACCAGGAAGAGTGTCTCATTTCAGCTGCTACGACAACCGTGACGTGTCACAAAGCGCGCTCACAAATTCACAAATCAGAGTTTACACAATCTAACGTTTCATAAACAACACATTACACCAAGAAAGCAGTTAACACCTCTAAAACGTTTGCTTTATTTGATATTCTGTGTTATTTTTTATGATTTTTTTCATGTTCCTTTTCTCTTTTTTATTTTTGACATTGCTTTCATTCATTCATTTTCCTTCGGCTTAGACCCTTTATTCATCAGGCGCCAGTGTTTAAACTAATAATGCAACTGTTAATCTGTTTTTCATTTTAATATTCAAAGTTTTTTTTATTTATTTAAAATTGGCAGAATTTAGGCTACTTTTCCATACGCCACAGCAAAATGAATCGCCTAATTTTATTATTTTAACTATTCTAGTTCAGTAAAGTTAGCAACAGATTGTGACGGTTGAAAAGAGGTGATAGAATCTGTTGCTAACTTTACTAAACTATTGATTCTTTCCTTCTCACTGTCTTTCCCTACTGGAAAAAACAGCCTAAAGCAGCCTAGGCTGGTTAACTGGTTTTAGCTGGTCAACCAGGCTGGTCTTAGAGGGGTTTTGGCCTTTTCCAGGCTGGTTTCCAGCCATTTCCAGCCTGGTCTTAGCTGGTCTGGCAGGGAGATGACCAGCTAAAACCAGCTTTTCCAGCCATTTCCAGC